AGCTTTAACATCATAAAATCAATCACGATTTACTCATGTAATAATTGACTTGACGTAAATATTGTTAAGAAACATATTTATTTTCTACGTCTGTATTAGAGATGAAAAAATAAATCATCGTATATCAAATATTTTTTCGTTTTAAGTGTAACTTGGGACACCATCTTTTCAATTCCTCAGTTTTTTATTCAATATAATTATGTTTCTTGTCATAAGGTAGTGGATGCACATAACGTAATTTTTTTTAATTTGACTATATCACCTAACCTACTTGTTTTCTATAGATAATTTATGTAACATAAAATTACTTACTGTTAGGTAAATAGGTATATTATAATATTGTAACAATTTATTTTCTAGCTATGGGAGGTAACAAAGCCAAAAAAGTTGGAGCACGGCCATACAAGAATTTTACACCACTGCAACTAGAGAGAGCGTTGTTGGCAGTAACCTCAAATTTAATGTCTGAACGTGAAGCAGCATTACAGTTTGGAGTTCCAAAATCAACTATCAACCGCAAAAGAAACGATAAAACTTTTCTTTGTACGGCCTAGCCCGTGAACTAGTTTAAAATTACCTGATCCGATTTGTATAAAAAAACATTTTAGTTTTTAAAAATCCAGGCTAGTCCTACCTGATTGTATTGAGGCCGATTTGGCCTGGATTATTATTTCTGTATCCGGCCCGTGCAAGTCTCTACTAAGTACTATCTACTAATGTCTGAAGAAGTTATTATGTAATATGTAATTTTAATATGGTAAAGCTATGCTAAAAATGTATAAATATGTTTTTTTTTTAAAGGAAAGTCTACCCAATGCAGAAACTACTTTACTTATGCGACAAATACATCACGAGTCTGGATCACATTCTCCTGAGTTACGTACTTTCGCTCTGTCTTTACATTTTTACTCGCTAGATGCATATAATTATGTACTTCAAACATTCCAAAATGCATTACCCGCCCCGAGTACCCTTCGAAAATGGTATTCATCAATTGATGGCAAACCCGGTTTTACCACAGAATCGATAAAAGCTGTAGAAATAAAACAAAAGGAATGGAAAGTAAAGGAAAATATCCTGTGTGTGCACTATTAATAGATGAAATGTACATAAAGGAAGGCATTAGTTTTAGAGGTAATAGGTTATCAGGAGATGTAAATTATGAAACCGGTACTGATAATTGCGATGGCTTACCAAAAGCAACTCAAGCACTTGCTTTTACGCTTGTTGCCATAAATTCAAATGGATAGTACCAGTTGGCTATTTTCTCATTAACAGTATAGGGGCAACTAAAAGCCCCTACGGCGAATTCCCTTTCTTATCTTTCCTGGCTATCGAGAATTCTTTATTTTACAGCCGGCAATTTCTTATCGCTTAGTTAATATCCTCGTTCACATTGATAGAATTAACGGGCAAAAACATTGGTCCTTCGAACCGGATTGTGAAAAAAGATTTCATAATGCCAAAGAAAAACGTAAAATCAGATCCCGCTGATGAAAGGGCGCTCACCAGAGCACGCCTTTTACGCGACCGAACAGACCAATGTGATACAATAGACTCCCTTGTTACCCACTCGATGGAAACATGTTACGAGATACGATAGCGTCGTCCCCGGCTTATACGTTAAACGATCCGTTTACTACACGTAGTGACCAATATAATATTTTACCGAAAATTAAATTGCCTAGATTTGATGGGAGCTTAACAAATTGGCGTTCGTTTCGCGATACATTTAACTCGTTGGTTAACGATGAAAACCCAACCGCTGGAAAAATCGAGCGATTCCACTATTTATTGTCGTGTTTGTCCGGTCCCGCTCTTACTACTGTTAAATCATTTCCACTTGCGGCGGCTAATTATGACAATGCGTGGCAGTCATTATCTGATAGATACGAAAAACCAACGATTATTGGCAACTGCTCGCCTAGACAAGTTGTTCAGTTTTAAAACAATTGTGCACGAGTCCATTACCCACTTTAAATGCATGTATTAATACCTTTCGTAAAAATATCGTGGCCATTAAATGTCTTGGAGTAGAATATTTATCGGGGTTTTAGCTTTTTTATATTGTTTCAAAAGTTTTGGATTCGGATATGTTATTCTACTGAAAATATTTATACTATTATATGGATTAAAATTTGATGAAATAACTTGTCAGCTATACAGTAAATCTTATTTATCTAATAATTACTCTTGTTAAGGCAATAAGTGAAATTGTTACCTTGAAAATTGCTGATCAAATGATTGGACTACCATTTAAGTTTAAAAAGTTGTTTAAAAAAAAATAAGTAGGGCCCCTCCCTACTTAGTAAAACAAAAAATACTGTGAAAAATTGAGATCACTTGGTATAAAAACATTATGAAAAAGAAAAACTTATTAATCTAACACCATTTGCCGTTTTTTGAACTTTCCAAATATTATATTCATATTTTTTAAATAATTTTCTACCAGAAACCACTACTGATGCTAATTATCCGAGTACTCTTTCTATCCCAAAGATATAACAACTCGAATGGTTGTAAAATCAATACGTTCTTCGCTCCTCTCAGAATCTAAAAATGTTGATTTGATGCAGGTTATGCATGCAAGGAGCGATGGACCAGAACTAGGGACAACCATAGGAAGGCATTAAGTCTGCGCAAGACAATCGCGAAAAGTTCTTCATCACTAGTCCATTTTGTCTCGCACACACAGCTTTTACACGTCTACTTGCTACGAAAACGCGAATGCTATTGTGAAAAATCCGATTGTAAATAGCCGTGGCGTCGGCAATCCGATTGATACGATCCGTCCGATACGGACTTATGGACGCTTACCTTTAAAAGCCTTTAACATTTACAGAATATAAGAGGAAACAAAGAATATTGCACTGATAAAATAGAAAAAGATACAGAAAGAAAAGGAGTTGCACGTTTAAATCGTGCAAAAAGAGATTAAATGACAATATCCTACAATATTTACAACCTTTATCCCACAGATCAATGATAAAGGGACCCTAAAAAACCTATCCTATGTACTTCATAATCATCATCAATTGTACACGCAAACGATACATCAACAAGCTTAGGAGAAAAGAAAATGATTATAAAATTTACGCAGTTAATCTATTTCTATTAAATCATTTATTAATTAATGTTGTTGTATAAAACATTTCAAAAACTATTTCTGATAAGCGAATCTTTAATTTTTGACTCGTCCAATATTAACAAAAGCAACGGAGATATAAACCGGTTACAGAAAAGTAGCTACTACTAGGTCCAATGAAAAACACTCTTCAATCATATACGAGTGCGTGTGTTAAAAGAAACAAACAGTGAATTTTTGAAATTGGGGGCGTAATTTATTTATAAATAAATAAATAATTTTATTTATAAATAAATAAATAATATCCAAATAAAACGTAATGACAAAATTATTTGTCGGATTTTGGATGAACCGTACAGTGATTATTTTGTCGTCTGTTTATTTTGTTTAATAAAAAAATAATTTAAATGAAAACTAACAGGAGACAAAACAAAAATAGCACAACATGAGATAGGTGAACCAACCAGAAAAAAAACGCTTATAGTATTATAGTATTTGTAGACGTAAATAACGATAACTCAGAAAGTAAAAACACAGCAAAATATAATATTCGTAAAACAAAGTTAAATAAAAAAACAAGGGTGTAAAGAAAAAAAATGATTTTAAAACAACGTTACCGGCCACCTTTAAAAAGCATACGAAAGGTGTGGGTTGGTTATTACTTATTCTCATTACCACTTAGAGTTACTGTTATAACTTATTAACTTTTTAACTTATTTGTAATAATAAAGAGAAAGAAATACTTAAAAAAAAAAAAAAACACTAAATGTTGACTAAAAAAAAATTATTCGATTTTTTTTTTAAGGGTGTTGGGTTTGCCGCCAAATAGGGCACGTGACTCGTGTGTGTACCAGTAAGTACCTAACATTACGTAGTACATAGTATATACATTAAAGAACACCTATATATTATATTTAAATATTTGCTTAAAAATGTTTTCGAGGGCGTAAATAACCAATCGGCCGACATTGTTCCAACGCCGCAACCACAGCAGCAGGAAAATAAGCCAGACCCCCCCCCCACCACGGTAAATAGACATTTTATTTTAAACATATTAAAACAAATAAAATAATTCAATATAGATGATTTATTATTGGTAGATTAAATTAGTAAACAAATCCATGGGTATATGCCCTATTTTAATCGATAATTGGGGAAAGCAATGCCTTGCACCACTCGAATTTAACCAAATTGCATTTAATGTAAAATTGCTTTATACAGTGTACTCACATATAGCTCAGAATAAATAATTAAGCCCAATAAAAAAAATCACTTAAGGAAATTAAAAAAAAATACAGCAATTTTTCTGTGATATATGTTAGAAGTATTTTAACACGACATGGAAAGTGGAACAACACATAACTCGATCACATAGTGCATATTTATCGACCATTTCGTTTTGTACATTAGGTAGTACGAATAATCTAATTGATCACACTAACTCCTTGTTGGATGAACTAATGAGCACATCTTCACAAAGTGCAAATCCCATATCTACTACTGCTAAGTTTTCCACTACCGTTTCTACTACAGCTATAACATCTACAACCGCTAATACTATTTCTCCTACTGCAAGTTCATCTACTAGTTCCCATTCTATTCAAAAAACGTCTACTACCTCCTATACTATTTCTACTGCCCAAACTACAGGTACTATTTCTTATTCTAGTATTACAATATCTACCGGTACCAGTTCTACTTATTCTACATCGTCCATTATCTCCCATAAAATCTATACTATTCCCACTACGTCTTCTAGTTCAGCAGCTAATCGCAAACCACTTGTAAAGACTCAAAAAGTAGTAGCCCGATATCAGGACGAAACTATACCTGCTTCTGAGTGGGGTCCACAACATATTGTCGCGAACGGTATCCACATCCAAGTTGGTTCGACCATAGGAACTTCCAGTCGTTGATGAACGAAAACGAAAGGACACCCAGTAACGACAATATAAATTCTAACTACGACCATAATAGACGAAACAGAGACGAGACAATGGAAAAATTGCAAGGGTTAGTCGAGCAATATATTGATCAATATTTTCAGCGACAACCAAATGCATCAAATATTCTAAATCATCCACCGCCATCGAGTACTCAAATTGGTTTGCAAGACGCAATTAGATTACTCCCATACTCTTTTGACGGAAGAGACGTTGAGCAATTGGAAATCTTCTTAGAAAAATGCGAGTTTGCGGTGGAATGCGTGGTCCCAGCAGCGGTACCACGATTGCTGCAGGCCATCCAAACTAAACTTACCGGAAAGGCCAGGCAAATAACAAAATTTAAACCTTTTGAAAGTTGGGAAGACCTTAGAGATGCACTGAAATCTAATTTGGAACCACAGCGCACAACTCCACACTTATATTTAGAACTTTATGCGACGAAGCAACTACCGGGAGAGGATATTTTGACCTATTCAATGAAAGTCGAAAAGTTACAAAATCAGATAGTAGAGCAGGAAACTTGTGATCAACCGGTGGAGGTTGCACAAGCGATAGAGCGAACGATCCAAAACCAAGTCATTCAAGTTTTTATGGAAGGATTGGGTAGTCTGAAAGATTTTATAAAGGCGCGAAATCCTAAATCGCTAGAAAAAGCAATCCAAGCCGCTCGAGAAGAGGAGCGAATAAGAAATTCGAACCTAGGCGCTAGGCAATTTTTAAAACCTTCTACATCAGTGCCTTCTAACTCTAGCCAATCATGCCATTCGTGTGGACGAAAAGGTCATTTTTCTAAATTTTGCCCACAAAATCCTTCTACATCAACCGGTAAAGGGAAACCGCAGAAGACCTCAATTCCAAATCCAAATTCTACAGCTCCAGTTTGTAGGTATTGTAAAAATGAGGGGCACGTAATTGAAGATTGTATTAAGAGGAGGTATGCAAATTCAAAAAATAATCGGAAAAATTCGGAAAACACGAAACGACCTGGTCAAAGCGCACGCCCGGCCGGACAGCTGCAAGCCGCCATCGTCCAATTAGGAGAGTCTACACATGCACCGCCCAGCTAAACGATGGTCAGGTGAAAGTACTCTGTTTCAATACTACTCCGAATCAATTAAATCTACTTCTAGATACGGGCAGTGACCTTTATCTAATTAAACTCAGCGTTCTAAATCCAAATGTGCCAGTAGAAGAAACTGAACGTTATAGTCTAACTGTTATAACTGAACAGACCATTCTAACTCTGGGAAAAACCTTCTTACCCATTCAAATTGCAAACCATTCAAACAACGCCGAATTCCATGTCGACATCCTAATTTCCCTATTAAGTTTGAAGGTATATTAGGTAGGCCATTTTTGCAATCCAATCAGTTGTCTGTCAATTTTCAAAACGAATGAGATAGTTTTACATGTAGAGAGAACATGTGAAATATCTCCGCGCTCTGAGTCTCTTATTTCTATATCTGCGTGTGACATCGCTGAGGCCACAGCGTTAGTCATTCATTCTCAAAGTCTAGTCGACAATTTGTTGTGCGGAAATGTACTAACAATTGTGAAAAATCATGAAATTCTAATTCCAGTAATTAACACATCCGAAAATACTATTACACTTCGAAGTCTCACTCCGGATCAACTTTCGTTCGACATATGGACTGAACAAAAGTCGTGTTACGTAACAAATGTTAATTCAAACTCATCTCCTTCTGCAAGTAGCCAACGATTACAGTTACTCAGAGATTCAATTCAATCAACGTGCTGGTCGACATTGTGACTGTAGTGAGACAATCACATTCGAGTGAGTACATATTTTGGTATCCGATCATCTGCCGCGGTCCGTCATTGAGACGCCAACAGCAATAAACCGAGGTCCGTAGACTCAAGCGCCCGACGTCCAGATTGGCGCCACTCATCGTCCCGCGTAAGTCCGACACCCAACCCCCAACACGCTCAACTGGCGGAACTCGGGCAACGGGCACGCTTGCTTGAGCGTCGTTTGGGAGTGCACCCGGTGGCGTTGGGGACCCTGATCGAACCCTGGGAAGTAGACATGGCAGAATTGGATGCTCTCAGGGCAGACAACATGCTGTGGGTTGCCTACCAGCGGGGACTCAGAGCGGGTAAAAAAGGACAAGCTGAAATGGAAGGCCTTCTCGAAAAGGAAGAAGGAGGCGAAGGAGAAGACCAGTCAGCAGTGGTGGCTGGGGTAGAAGGAAGGGGAGGCGTCACCGATGGATTTGGATGAGGAGGTGTTGACGACACCACCGACAAGCCTCCCAGAGGTGGACGACGATATGTTCCACACGGCGCCATCCTCACCCAACCCGACATCTCAAACGCCCGAAACACCTGACCAACAAACCCCCGCACCTGAGCCCGCAGAGACGCCCAACCCTTCAGAAAACCCGCCCCCCTTCAAGGAATATGGGACCGAGTTGGCTTGCCTATCCCTCCATCATCCTTCATTCTCATTCACTCATCACTAGCGAACAACCCCGCAGGGACAGGTCACTTGAACATTCCAGCGGGGAGAAGAGAAAGCTATAAGTAAGCGGCTAGACCACGGCTTATTCGCACAGGGTGTGTCGACGACTTGGCGGCGGAGTATGACGCGGCCCCCTCAGCCTATCACACAGGTTGGGCCCGCGCTGTACCTCTTCTGTCACCCGTTGACACATTGTGCGACACTCGGTGGTGAACTTACTCTCCCACCGTCCAGTTGGAGAGTGCAAAGTCCACACCGGGGAAAACGGCCGCTACTAAGCTTCCCGGTCGTTCGCTCTCTCCGTTCCTCGTCGTCAACGCGAACGCACCTAGCTGCCCCCGCCTATTTTGCATGACCCGAGCGTCACACGTTTACTGTGTTTTTTTTGTTATTTTTCCTTTTCAAAAATATAATTTGTTTTTTTTTTTAGTGTCAAAATAAACGGGCCCTGTCCCCTTATTTCGAACACGCACCCACTTGTGTATTTATTTATTTTTTCTACCGTCCTCCACCTACTCGCGAGACGCCGACCCTTCCCAGTGTCGCGTCAAGTTTGGATTAAAATATTCAACGAAAGATCTTTTTGCTTATTGAAAATGTTTAATAAGAGTACGTATAAAATATTAAGTTTCTTGAATTGTATTATTGATATAATAGTGTTTCAACAATTAATTTTACACATTTTGGGAAGCACGACTGTAATGTACCTATACAAATTTTTACCGAAGAGGTATCCTTGACTCTTATTCAACAGGAAATGTTAGCGTGTAGAACTTGTAAAAAATATAATTTTAATTTTATCAAAGAACAAGTTTTTCCCGTTTCAAAGGAATGGAGTAAAGGAAAAGTAGCTACAGTTGGCAATAAGATTAGTAAACAACAAATCAGTCTAAGAAAAAAAAATAGCAAAACATAAGAATTCACAAATACACTTAAAAATAGAACGCATAATAGACGATAGTGTATTAAAAGTAATGCCAAACCAAATTTTGAAACCGTCAAAATTTTATTGACGTAGACAATACCAAAAATTGTTAGAACTGCATATGTCATAGCTAAAAATTAGAGACCATTCACAGATATGCCTAAGCTTGTAGAACTACATCAAATAAATGTACTACATATGGGTCGTGTACTTCAAACAAATAAAGCCTGTGGTAATATAATTGACCATATAACTTCAGAAATGAGAAAAAAGTTGTGTAGTGAAATCGTTGTAAATAAAAGAAAACTCTGTATTATTATTGACGGGTATACTACCTCAAGGAGATTTTGATAACAAAAGGGAAAATTCACAACACCTTGTGGGAAAATTGATAAATAAGCAATGACAACACTGGTTGCACACCGCACACAAAAATATTTTCACTTTTAAAAATTATAAATTATTAAAATTTGCTACGTCTTATTCTTAAAAATAAAATGGTAAGTATTTTTTTAAATTTAAAATAACGGTAATACAAAGATAATATTATCTAGTTATAATAATTTGTTAAATAATTAAGAAAAACAAAAATATAAAATTAAAACTAATTTTTTAGATTTTAGTTGTTAAAACTTTTATTACTTAATATTATTAGTTTAAAACCCCGTATTGTGTTGTTTTTTTTTAACAGAATTTAAATTCAAGTGTTGAATACTAATTTATAATACTGCTGCCAAGTCACTCGAGTAAGATATATTTTTGTTTTTACTTAAAAGTAAATTGTGTACTTTGGCATTCAGAAAAAAAGTATTTTTTAACCCTGCGACCCCGTCAATTTCTGGGGTCCTATTTACCCCACCTTGTCCTTGTATTAAAAAAAAGCCAGTAAACTGAGGGGGGGGGCATAGTGGGGACGGACGGAGAGGTCACAGGTCTACAGATTTTATTGTAACTGGAAGTGATAAAATCACTTTTAAATAAACGCTTCGAAATTACTTAGATTTTGACTATCATCATCATTATCACTGTCGCAGGACTGAGTTGTATCAGTGTCATGATCGCTTTCGTATACATAATCTACATCCGAAACATCTGAAGAAGCGATTTCATCATTTTCCTCAAAGAAAATTCTAATTCGATCTTCATCCTACGAACTCATTTTTAAATTATAATGTCGAAAATATAACAACAAGCAATATAACTGTTGAATTTCGTCTAACAAATTTAAAAAAATATGTTGTATGTGATAATATGTGATAACATGTGCTAGTATGTCGACCATGTAATAACGTTTTTTTTCACACACGCGAACAGTGGTCATTATGACCGATATCAGTTTTAAAAAACGAATTATCACGTAAATCTGATATAAATATACAAAATGACACAACGAACATTACTCTTAACAGTTAATTGAAAGGTACCATGAAGTTCAAGTGGATAAGGGGTTCCTAAAATGTGTAACGCTAAAACCATAAAAAATTGCGGTCGAAAAGACTGATGCCGGGTTAATAATGTTTTACAGAAAACACGCTAATAGTATAATTATAATCAGTAAAATGATCATGGTCACTAAGTAATTACATATTATATAATAATAAAAAATGAATAGGTTGTTCATTACTTTAATGACAAAATGAATGGCAAACAAGGTGACTTTTATAGTAAAAAATGTATTATTATGTATTACTTAAAATTAAATGTGCCTCACCTCTCATCAAACACCGTTCCCTTTCCTAAATTAAAATAACTACTGATAATTTACAAATAAATATAGAAAATGTATAATACTGCTAACCAAAATATCTAAATTGTTATGTTCAATGAAATTTTCCATTTTAAATATTTGTGTTGCAATGATATATTCTTCTGTTTCTTCTTCTAGTTCACCTAATTCATCTATATCTGATAAATCTCCTTGAAGACGTTCTTCAATTTCATTTAGATTTAACGCCATGGTATTTTACTAAAAGAAATATTACTAATTTGTCAAAATTAATTTTGTGTTATTACACAGAACCTAGCCCCAATGTTGCCATATGGAATGATCCATTGTCATCACCGTATCGTAAAAAGTAACAATCACACAATAAAACAATCTATACCATTATAATAAACAATACATTTTGATGCAGAATAAGTATTCGTATATAAAAAATATGTTTAATACATACCATAAAAAATGTTAGATGATGTAACAAAACGCTGCTACTAGAAAAGTATATATTTTTTCAAAACAATGATAATAATGTTATCAAAAATTAAAAAAACCGTTAAGACCTCCTCGACTTCTTACTATAGAAAATAAACTTTCAAGACTATCTTAATTAAGCCTCTGAGTAAGAATGTAAGATATATCATATTTTTCCATCAAATCTTTGAAAAGTAATTGAGTAGATTTAAAGGAAATTAAAATACCTTTTTGAATTGTTAGCAGTGTGTTTTTACCTTTGCATCTCATTGAATATATTAACTTATACATATTGTCTAAACAATTATTCTGGTCTTCTAAATTTAAGCCTTATGGTTTTTTGGTACACAATGTTTCAGATGATATATATGAGTTCATTATATTGAACCAATTACTTATGGTTTCAATAAACTGTCCAGTATTTTTAGATAGTGCCTTGTCTGAACCAGGTTTGTAATGAACTAAAGCT